CTAAGCCAATTATTTTAAAGCAATTCAATGTAGCTTTTTGACATTCTGGGTGTTGTATCAATTGCAGGTATTATTATAACCTTTGAGAAAGAAGGGTGTCAGGTAGTGGGATATGGAGGTTTCACCTCCAGCACAAGCAGAATCAGTTAGTTATTACTAGAGAGCTTATTTCAATGTTAATTATCAGCACACAACCCGATTTTCACCCATATGTTCTAAACTGCAATGTTGAAAGTTAAACAGAATCATGTCTTCTTCAGTTCTATCTTTTCAGGATTCTTATTTGTCCTCCTTGTTGATTTCATCTCAAAGAGGTACTAAACTTCAAAATATGTCAGGAAATTAGGATTTCAAATTACATACATAACATCCATCCACCTGCCAACAAGGAAAGCTAACACTATGTTGATTTTCTCACTGGCAACCATGACGTTATGTTACATTTATCATTAATTAAAGGTGTTTTCCAAAGTACTTTAACTTTGGCAATCACTGTTGCAGATATGATGCCGAAAGGTTTTTAGAGCCTAATTTGGCACTTCTGTTTCAAATACTTTCAACATTATTTCTGGAACTCAAATAACTATCCTGGAGGTCAGAAAACATTTATTATTTCAGTGATTTCAAATGGAATATTCCCAGAGATGGTTTGTTGCGATGGATTGAATGCTGTAGTGAAGTGTTTCTTTGTCAATCAGTATAAAGAAAGTTAAATTCCACATATTGTAGAACTATACCCATCTCCAGGTTCTGCAGGGAAGGGTGAGATCAACCTAGTATGATATAATTGTCAGAGAGTGTGCTGGAATTATCCATAATTGTTACAATACTTCAAACATCTGCCTTGAAAGGACAAACTTGCATCTGACTATCAAACATTGCATGGCCTCTTACAAGTAGAACAAAAATACAATTACAAAGTTAGAAGAAAATCCTGGAATCTACAATAGTTGGAGAAAACACTGGGTTTCCCAGAGGCTTCAATTGAAGCCCAGATGAATACTGCAACACCACTAGGAACAGAAGGAGATACAGCATGAGATGGAAAATGCCAAGGGGTGGATGAGAACAGATGGGCCAAACGTTACTGCTTCTGAAAATTAACATCAACATTCAGCAACCAAGTGGGACTGGGGAGCTCAGAAGAAGTAGAATAACATTGCATGAAAATGATCATTTGCACAACTCATGCATCTCGAACAGTTTGCAAAGTAAAGAGTGCTTTAAAGTTCCTTGTGCTTTGGTCGGCAGCACTCTAATGGCTACTAGGAACTGTATGAGAGATGCCCAGGTGACTGGCCCTTTGATGTTCCTTCAAAGCCTATGAAGTCTGTACATTTTTTAATGTAAATTGAACTTGAATAGTTTTAGGAGGTTATGAAGTGTTGCTTTTACAAGGCTGTTCTCTTGGATTAGTCTCTAAAAAAAAAGCTGTTTTTAAGAAAAGGTATATTCATCAACACGTTGGTTTGTAAGTCTGGCACCTACAACTTTTCTGTCCTTTTTTTGTGTTTATCTAAGAATGTTTTACTGCAATGTTGATATTGATCCTGCAAATTTCAATCTATGCTGCCTGTGTGGATAGTAATGATCGCTCCATAGCTGTTTTCGGACATTGCTGTGCTCAATTGTTGGAGGTGCCATTCTTCAGATGAGACCTTAAACTGGCGTCAATGTCTCAAATAACTATCCAGGAGTCTAGTCTGCTCTGGTCTGAATCCTCAACTGGGTTTGAGGATTTCATGGCACTATTTAAAAAGAGAAGGAAGTTTCTCCCAGTTCTGGGCAACAATCCTCCAGATAAATTTGGTGATTTCCTGACTGGTTGTGGGTCATTGCTTTGCTCAAATTGGCTACTGTGTTCCTACAAATACACAGTCACTGCACTTCACAAAAAGAATCCTGTGACATGCTTTGACAGGTCTCAACAACATGATAAGGTCCTATATCAAATGCAAGAATTATTATGATATCACTGTAAACATTATCTATTTGTACTTCTACATATATCTTATATGACGAACAACGAAAACAGAAGTTGAAGTTTGTGACATAGTTAATGCAAGAATAAAATGGGGGAATTATCTCAATGTGTGAAATGAGACAGTTAATGTAAGACTATAACACATGGAACGAGCAGAATACATGAGACTATTAATGTATGATTATTATTTATTATTATGAACACAACACTCAATGTCTGAAGTGATGGTTGAAGTAGACAGTGTAGATGCATTTAAGAGGAAGTTAGATATACATTGGGGAGAAGGCAATGGGAGGGAATAAGGAGGGGGTGGAGACTCATGTGGAGTGGACTAGCCCAGGCCAGGCTAGACAAGCCCAGGCTAGACGGCGAGACCAGACTAGCCCAGAAAAGGTTAGACTAGCCCAGGCTAGATGGCGAGACGAGACTAGCCCAGACCAGGCTAGACTATCCCATGCTAGACGGCGAGAACAGACTAGCCCAGACCATGCTAGACTAGCCCAGGCTAGACGGCGAGACCAGACTAGCCCAGACCAGGCTAGACTAGCCAGGCTAGACCGCGAGACCAGACTTGCCCAGAGCAGGCTATACTAGCCCAGACCAGACTAGCTCAGACCAGGTTAGACTAGCCCAGGCTAGACGGCGAGACGAGACTAGCCCAAATCAGGATAGACAAGCCCAGCTAGACAGCGAGACCAGACTAGCTCAGACCTGGCTAGACTAGCCCAGGCTAGATGGCGAGACCAGACTAGCCCAGACCAGGCTAGACTAGCCCAGGCTAGACGGTGAGACCAGACTAGCCCAGAGCAGGCTAGACTAGCCCAGGCTAGATGGCTAGACCAGACTAGCCCAGACCAGGATAGACTAGCCCAGGCCAGACAGTGAGACCAGACTAGCCCAGACCAGGCTAGACTAGCCCAGGCTAGATGGCGAGACCAGACTAGCCCAGACCAGGCTAGACTAGCCCAGGCTAGCGGCGAAACCAGACTAGCACAGACCAGGCTAGACTAGCCCAGGCTAGACGGTGAGACCAGACTAGCTCAGACCAGGCTAGACTAGCCCAGGCTAGATGGTGAGAATAGACTAGCACAGACCAGGCTAGACTAGCCCAGGCTAGACAGCGAGACAAGACTAGCTCAGACCAGGTTAGACTAGACCAAGCTAGACGGCGAGACCAGACTAGCTCAGACCAGGATAGACTAGCCCAGGCTAGATGGCTAGACCAGACTAGCCCAGACCAGGATAGACTAGCCCAGGCTAGACAGCAATACCAGACTCGCTCAGACCAGGTTAGACTAGACCAAGCTAGACGGCGAGACCAGACTAGCCCAGACCAGGATAGACTAGCCCAGGCTAGACGGCGAGACCAGACTAGCCAAGATCAGGATGGACTAGCCGAGGCCAGACAGGATACCAGACTAGCCCAGACCAGGATAGATGGATAGAACAGACTAGACCAGACCAGGATAGACTAGTCCAGGCTAGACAGGATACCAGACTAGCCCAGACCAGGATAGACTAGCCCAGGATAGATGGCGAGACCAGACTAGCCCAGACCAGGTTAGACTAGCCCAGGCTAGATGGCGAGACCAGACTAGCCCAGAGCAGGATAGACTAGCTAGGCTAGACGGCGAGACCAGACTTGCTCAGACCAGGTTAGACTAGCCCAAGCTAGACAGCGAGACCAGACTAGCCCAGACCAGGCTAGACTAGCCCAGGCTAGCGGCGAAACCAGACTAGCCCAGACCAGGCTAGACTAGCCCAGGCTAGACGGTGAGACCAGACTAGCCCAGACCAGGCTAGACTAGCCCAGGCTAGATGGCGAGACCAGACTAGCCCAGACCAGGCTAGACGAGCCCAGGCCAGACAGTAAGACCAGACTAGCCCAGACCAGGCTAGACTAGCCCAGGCTAGATGGCTAGACCAGACTAGCCCAGACCAGGCTAGACTAGCCCAGGCTAGATGGCTAGACCAGACTAGCCCAGACCAGGCTAGACTAGCCCAGGCTAGATGGCGAGACCAGACTAGCCCAGACCAGGCTAGACTAGCCCAGGCCAGACGGCTAGACCAGACTAGCCCAGACCAGGCTGGACAGCGAGACAAGACTAGCTCAGACCAGGTTAGACTAGCCCAGGCCAGACAGTGAGACCAGACTAGCCCAGACCAGGCTAGACTAGCCCAGGCCAGACAGTAAGACCAGACTAGCCCAGACCAGGCTAGACTAGCCCAGGCTAGATGGCTAGATCAGACTAGACCAGACCAGGCTAGACTAGCCCAGGCTAGACGGCGAGACCAGACTAGACCAGACCAGGCTAGACTAGCCCAGGCTAGATGGCTAGACCAGACTAGACCAGACCAGGCTAGACTAGCCCAGGCTAGATGGCTAGACCAGACTAGCCCAGACCAGGCTATACTAGCCCAGGCCAGACAGTAAGACCAGACTAGCCCAGACCAGGCTAGACTAGCCCAGGCTAGATGGCTAGACCAGACTAGACCAGACCAGGCTAGACTAGCCCAGGCTAGACGGCGAGACCAGACTAGACCAGACCAGGCTAGACTAGCCCAGGCTAGATGGCTAGACCAGACTAGCCCAGACCAGGCTAGACTAGCCCGGGCTCCAGCTCTGATCTTCAGGGAAGCTCAGATCCGGTGTTTAGTGTTTGTCTGATATTAACACACGTTTGTAGACAAAGTCCACCAAACACTTTCCAAAAAGTAGCCCCATATTACTTGTCGCCGCCTATGAGTGGCTAATTTAGGTCAGTGCTTTGGAAACTGTGTGAGAAAATGTCTTCAAAGAAAAAAATTTGCATTTAAAAAATTAAGCCCAAAGCCGTTTTCTCATTCAGCGCCAAGAAAACCCGCCCAATTTGTGCTCGAAGCCGCCCAAACCCCGCCCAAACCCGCCCACACGGCGGCGACCAGGCTGGTCACGTGCCTGCCTCCACCCCCCCGACCGGAAGTCAGTCACCCGAATGCCAGCTGGGGGTGGGGGGTGGATGACGACATTTCCGGATGACGATGTTTGCGCGAGACGCGCATGCGCACTCGCCCTTCCTTCTGTTCTGTGCAACGTCAGCGGCGCCGACATCTTCCCCGAGACCCGAGACTCTCGCACACAGGTAATGTCCACAGCGGGGCCCGGGCCGGGGGGCAGCGGGGGCCGGGGGGCAGCGGGGGCCGGGGGGCAGCGGGGGCCGGGGGGCAGCGGGGGGCAGCGGGGGCCGGGGGGCAGCGGGGGCCGGGGGGCAGCGGGGGCCGGGCCCGGGCCGGGGGGCAGCGGGGGCCGGGGGGCAGCGGGGGCCGGGGGGCAGCGGGGGCCGGGCCCGGGCCGGGCCGGGGGGCAGCGGGGGGCAGCGGGGGCCGGGCCGGGGGGCAGCGGGGGGCAGCGGGGGCCGGGGGGCAGCGGGGGCCGAGCCCGGGCCGGGGGGCAGCGGGGGCCGGGGGCCGAGCCCGGGCCGGGGGGCAGCGGGGGCCGGGCCCGGGCCGGGCCGGGGGGCAGCGGGGGCCGGGCCCGGGCCGGGGGGCAGCGGGGCCCAGCGGCAGCAGCACCGGGGATGATGGCGCGGTTTGTAACTCGGCCTTCACAGTCTCTGCCGCCAACGGCCACAAACACACAGTCACTTCACTCCACACCACACACTGTTTGCTGTCAAAAGCCCTTTGAGACTCCCCACAGGACTGAAATTCAAGGATTATTATTCTGTTATAGTGTTGTTATGTTATTGTATTGTCGCTCCTGTGTATCTGTGGAGGGGTTGGTCCGTGGGTTTCATGTGATCGCGCAAGTCAAGGCCCCAGGGCTGAGGGGAGGGGGCCCGGGCTGAGGGGAGGGGGCCCGGGCTGAGGGGAGGGGGCCCGGGCTGAGGGGAGGGGGCCCGGGGCGAGGGGAGGGGGCCCGGGGCGAGGGGAGGGGGCCCCGGGGCGAGGGAGGGGGCCGGGGCGAGGGGAGGGGGCCCGGGGCGAGGGGAGGGGCCAGGGCTGAGGGGAGGGGCCCCGGGGCGAGGGGAGGGGGCCGGGGCGAGGGGAGGGGCCAGGGCTGAGGGGAGGGGGCCCGGGCTGAGGGGAGGGGGCCCGGGCTGAGGGGAGGGGGCCCGGGCTGAGGGGAGGGGGCCCCAGGGCGAGGGGAGGGGGCCCGGGCTGAGGGGAGGGGGCCCGGGGCGAGGGGAGGGGCCCGGGCTGAGGAGGGACAGAAAGGATAGAAAACTCTTCGGTGGGGCAGCCGGGTATCTGACACATGAGGAAACCCATCTCCATGCTTAATAATAATAATAATAATAATAATAATCCTTGCATTTGATATAGCGCTTTTCACGTCGGGAGGACGTCCCAAAGCGCTTCACAGAACACACTGTAAAGTGAATTGACTGTATATTTGTGGGCGAACGCTGCAGCCAATTGCGCACAGCAATGTCCCACAAACAGTCGTAGATTGAAAATGACCAATTTATTATTGTTTTGTTTTGGAGGGACTATTATTAGGCTCTGTGTGGAGTAAGGAAACTTGCCCAAGGTTTCGCCCTCTTCCTGGAATTGAACTCAGGTCTCTCACTTGCAAAGCGAGTGCTCTAACCACTGAGCTACAGGACTCCGAAAGTATATCCAAACCAAATTCAGAATTCCATGCATCCCAAATACACATGGAAATCCCAGAGATAGATTATTGTAACGAAATGCACTCTTTCTCTCCCTGGAGGGACGCATCCTCCTTATCTAATCCTGGAACGTGTTAGGCACAGGTTGGCAAGAGCCAAGGCTTGGAGACCCCATGCGTTGGGGTAACTGCTGGAGTCTAACCAGCTAAAACCACATAGCTTACCATTGATCTCGCTTTCTGGCAAGCGTTTTCATTAGTTACCAGGCTTGGACCATCCTACCCATGAGGGCTTTGGCACGCAGGGTTAATAGAAATCAGAAAATATTTATTCAGACAGGGTTGCAAAATGTGAGATAAGCCACCCTAGGCTGCTGTAGAGGTAGAATCAATCAGGATTTTAATGGATGGATGGATAGTTAGTTCTTTAAAAGTAAGGACGCTTTAAAATAATGAGGGCATTTGATAGGATAGATACAGATAAACTATTTCTTCTGGTAGTGGAATCCAGAACTAGTGGGAATAATCTTAAAATTAGGCCTTTTAGGAGTGAAACTAGGAAGCCGTTTTTCACCCAAACGGAGGTAGAAATCTGGATGTCTCTCCCCCAAAAACGGGATGCTGGATCCATTCACATTTTCAAGATGGGTGTAGATAGATATTTGTTAGCTCAGGGATAAGGGGTGAGGGCGAGTAACTGGACTTGAGGTACAGATCAGCCATGATCTTTATAGAATGGCGGAACATGCTCGAGGGGCTGAATAGCCTACTCCTGTTTCTATGTCAATATATAGGGAAATGGGATTAAAATACTATTATCTGTTTAAAAAACTGGAGTACAGAGTTGAATGACTTCTTGTTTCTACTGCACGAAGGAGAAAAAAACAAAACGTTATGCAGTGTGCTTCCTCTCTGTAGGTGTGCTTTTTCTTCAGTTATGAAGGATTTTTCGTACATTCGCTCATCATTTTTAATCCTACATTGCAACATTAATGCTCTTCTATTTTCCTGTGAGTTGTCATAAAGGAAGTTTATGTCATTGTAAGATACACAGCTTTGTTGCCCTTCAGTGTGTACACTCCACATTGTGCTCTTGTGGATGGAGGAAAAGAGAACACATCCATTTTTTATGCGCAGATTGACAAAAATAGTCAATTGGCCAGGTTTGTGACTTAGGTACAGGATCAACCATTTTACAACCTTTCTTCGCTGCATTAATTGGAACTTCAAATGAAATACTGCTGCATGAATTAACTGTTGAGGGGTATAACTTGTCATAAGTTATATTTGTTCATGGGATTTCTGGGAATCAACGTAAATCAATATTTAAAGTTTTTTTTTCTCTATACCCTCAGAAAAAACAATGGATCAGGTCATGCAATTTGTGGAGCCCAGCCGCCAGTTTGTGAAAGATTCTATCAGACTAGTAAAAAGATGTACTAAACCTGACAGGAAAGGTACACTACTATGCACGTTTTTCTTTTTTAAGATGTATTCATTGTCCCATATGAAGGGCTGCAAATGTAAAGTTGAGGTTATATTGATTAGTGGGATGTACTTCAATATTTCCAGTTACCTCAGAAACTTAATTTCAAACATGAAATGTCTGCAGTCCTATATTGTAGCTTGTGCATTTTGTGTTTCGTTTATTACTTGCTATCCATTACATTTGCACCATTGTCAGAGGATGAGCTTTTAGCCATTATTGCCCCTATTTGGTAGTCTCTAAAACTTTTGCCTTTTTACTTTTCTTCTAGGTTTCAGAAATAGCCTTCAAATCCTATCTCTTTGACTGTATCTTTTGACAAAATCTTTTTCTTAATTACCTGCTTGGTGTCTACCACTATATTTTAGTGTTTGAGATATTGTTTTACATGAAAAGTACTGTACAGGGCAATTCTGATATAAAGTGGTCCTCTTGATTCATCTTTGACTCCCGCATTAAAACAAAGCATGAAAAGATGATTCGACTTTTGGGTTGTCACTTTCGTGCTTTCTGCATCCTAAGCATGAGAAACTGCTGATGTCCCTTCAAGAAACTTTCTGGAACTCCTTCCAAATGTCCCGCTGACTCGCTCCCTCCTAGTTCACCTAGTTCAAGATCTATCTCAAAACCTACCTCTTTGACTGTGATTCTGGTCATCTTTCCTCTCGTCATCCCCCCTGGCTCCCACACCCAATTTGGGTGCCTAGCTGTTAGCTGCTTTGAGATGTCCTCCTGGCGGGAAGGCACTATATAAATCTAAATTTGTATTTATTATACTGTTTGTATTGAGTATTTTGTTGAGGATGACTATACAATGTTATTCATAAAGTCTGAATTTCGAGATGATATTACCTTGAAATCAACACTCGTGTCCATTTTGAAAAATCTAAATATAGTTACAGTAATCTCATCTGTTTTCTTTTTGAAAATGTCCACCATAATTACTACATTATATCTGTGACACTTACCAGAAAGCTGTATTCCAGGAGCACTGATACATGGTTTTATAATGGCTGAATTGGTTTAGTGCAATGTAATAAAGTAAACTTAAATTACTTTGTAATTGACTTGTGCTTAGTTAGCTGCACAGTTAATGTGAGCGAAGAAAAATTGGATTTTGATGAGATGTTTTGGATGTTAGCTAAAATGTAGCATGAGTAATTTGTCAACCAGAAAGAATGATTTTGCTTTGACAAAAGCATTAAAGCTCTAACCTTCAAGTTTATCGCAGGTTATTGACTATCAATCTCATTTAAAAGCGAAAAAACAAATTTGAAGAACCACCGACTGATCATCCTTTTGGGACCTACCAAATTATGCTGAAGTTTTCACTAATTTTAGACAAAAGAGTATTAACTTCAAACTTAAGCAAGTCCAATTAGTTTGGAAGATCTCCGATGATGTAATCATTTCATGTAATTGATTCAGCTGTTTATCTCTTGCTTTGTGAACATGTCTTGCTTTATGTAAGGCAAAGAATCAGGCCAATGCCTTATCTATTTGAAACTAATAATCGAGGTACAAATTAGGGAGCCATTCATATTTTGTTCCAAGAATTCCCTTGTGAGGAGCTAATTCTCCATAGAGAGTTGAATGGAAAACTCAATTTTGTATTTTACTATTTTTGAATAGCAAAATCAGTTATTGTTTTCTTCTGAGAATTCTTAAATAGCCTTTTTTTAATAAAATTGTCTGAATGCCTGCACAGTAAGATGAGTTTATTATTAATCTCTGGTGTCCTCTGGACATAGAATGTGGAGTAGTTTTAATGAGTTTACCTCCTTACAATGTTAAAATTAATTTCAATTTGAATCATTAATATTGAATTTTCTTTTCACAGAATTTCAGAAGATTGCTATGGCAACAGCTATTGGGTTTGCCATCATGGGATTTATTGGTTTCTTTGTAAAACTCATCCACATCCCCATTAACAACATTATTGTGTAAGTGTCTCTGGGTTTAGAGGTGTGCGACTGTATGCTGCAGATATAAAATGATTGGATAGCTACTTCTCCTAAGTTAAAACATTTTCAACTAGAGCAGCTTCAATGTTTCATACTGAAACTTGTCAAAGAGTACAAGGGAGGCCACTTAATTCAGACGCTAGTTAACTTTGGGACATAATTCAGACGCCGTTTATTTCAGACAAAACGGCAATTCCTAACTTGTTTGTATTGGAAGCTGTTTTAAATATTTGGGTTAATTTGGACAAAAATCTGGTTAATCTGGACAAAATGCCTGGCTGGTGGTCACCGCTGGGTCAACTCACACATGCCTTCTCATTGCATTCAGTCTTGAGCGGCTCTGAGCTGTCAATCAGCGAGGGAAAAAACGAGAGAGGGAATGAAGATGGAAGGATTGACAGTGAACTCCATCCATTCACAAGCGGCTCCGGGCTGTCAATCAGCAGCAACCAGTGAGGGGGAGGAGGTGGCTCTGAGGTGTTGATCACTGCAGGGTGAGGTGGGACATGGCCAATGGGAAGAAGGAGCTGTCACTGCTGCTCCTCTGCTGGGTGGAAACGGAAGAGGCAGAGTTGGTGGAAGTCAGGGCCAAATTTAAAAAATTGATAACTGGACACCGGTTAATTCGGACAAAATGCCCTGCCCTAAAGTATCCGACTTACGCGGCCTCCACTGCACTTTATTTTGTGACATGTTTTGATGGAAGCAGGAGAAAGGATAGAAGCTAGAAAGAAAAGAGGGGTCAAAAGAACTAGTACATTTTTACAAACTGTTTTTAGTTGTTTAGCACGTACGGGAACTTGTGAACGAGTGGTTTTACAGCTGCTACTGCAGTAAGCATAACATTTGTGGAGATTGAAAAAGGTAATAAATTGTTCTTTCCTTCGCAGTGGTGGTTAGACTTTCCATCTAACTTCAGGAGGCGGTTAGGGGGGGCAATGAAGATGGGAGGACACCAAGAACAGTTCATTGTTTCATTCTTTGTTTGTATTCTGTGTTTTTATTTGGCTGCACCAAAAGAATAACGATCATTTTGATTTAAATAAAGCTGTTTAATTGATTCTTTTTTCGCTGTTTTTTGACAATCGGCAGTTTTAGCATCTCAGTAAGGCACACGAAGCACTTAAGGTGTCCCAGTTAAATTCTTTCCTTTATGCCCATTGTCCATAGCAAAGGTTGATCAGTTTCCACAGTCACGGTCCCACTTCCGTCATAGGTGTTTGAAGTGCTGACCAATTTACCAAACTCGAGAATGTTGTTGGCTGCAAAAAAAGAAAACAGTTTAAATTTGCTTTCCATCTGATTTATCTGAAATTCTTTTTTACTGGAAAATGACAGACTACTGAATATAATCAGTGTAAATTTAGGCAATAGAATTACAGTTGTGGAAACTTTAAAATTCCCATCATAGGATTGCATCCATTCATTTGAAACCAACGTAATCATATCCTTAGCAACCATCAGACATAGTGCAGCGATCTATCAATTGCAAAGCTACTAACCTTGCAGTAGCATGCCTCGTTTTGGAGACTAGGATGAAAAGATGAGTACCCTGTTCTGCATATTGTTTTTAGCAACTCTCTATTTTCCATAATTTTTTTACATAGAAGGCTGGCATGACATAAAATACAGCATCTGTAAACTGACCACACACGGTGAAATGATTTACCTATCAAACTGGAAACCTCAAAGCTATTATTTCTTAACAGGTTTTAGACATTGTTTTTTAGAACCAAATTTAGACATTTTCATTCTTCACACATGTTTAGACATTTAATTAGTCATTTATAGTGAACAGAACTTTTTTTTCCCAAAGTTAAATACTGCACTTACAAAAGTACTGCAATTTTTCAAACATTAATCCTAATACCTATTGAATTGCTTTTTTTCAGTTACCATGGAGTTTTGTGTACTCGTCTGCAATATTTTTAACTCTTAATTATTCAGACATTTTATAGGGAGGTCAGTTAAGAAATTGATACATAATTTCAGTATGTATAGTGACTTAAGGAAAATAAACCAATGAGAGTGATAAAGTTCCTTGACACTAGATTCAGTAATATATTTAATCTAATCTTTCCCAGCACATTAAGCCTCCCTAATCTTCTTAATATAATCTGCTGGGTTGTAAAACTCGATCTTATTGTCAACGAATAACTCTTTCAGTTTTGTTGCTCTGTTCAACCTTGATGGTGACATCATCTGAAGACATGGGGTCAACTTCCACATGTACGTGGATGACACCCAACTCTATCTCTCGGCCTCCACCCTCGATTCCAGGACCACTGATGCCCTGACAGACTGTCTGGCAGACATCAAGTCCTGGATGAGAGCTAACTTTCTGCTGCTGAATATCTCCTGATTGGTTCGTGCCAGAGCCTCCGCACCTCAGGTGCATCAGCATCCACGTAAGCACACTCCACCAAGCCAGTCAGGAACCTGGGCGTCTTGTTCGACCCTCAACTGTCCTTTCTCCCTCCGCAACATTGCCCGACTCCGCCACTGCTTTACCCCTCAGGCCACCGAAACCCTCATACAGGCATTCGTCACCTCAAGGCTCGACTACGGAAACTCTCCTTGACGGCCTCCCCAACTCTTCCCTCCACAAGGTGCAGATCATCCAGAACTCTGCAGTTCGTGTCCACTCCCGCACCAGGCTCCGTGACCCCATCACTCCCATTCTTGCCCGACCACACTGGCTCCCCATCCCCCTGAGGATAGAATTCAATATCCTCGTCCTCACTTTCAAGACCCTTCACGACCTTTCCCCCTCCTACCTCTCTGACCTGCTGACCCGCTATCAACCTGTCCGCTGTTCAGCAGACTCAGGGCTGCTCCATGTCTCCCGCCCTACCATTGGCAGCCGAGCTTTCAGCCTCTGCCCCATCCTTTGGAAGTCCATTTCACAATTCCTTCGCCTTGCTCCCTCTTTTGCCGCCTTCAAGGCATGACAATGTCTTCAGCGCCCTCCTAACTCTGCCCTCCCTCAATCCAACCCTGCCCCCCCCCCCCCCCCCCCCACGCTTGGGTCCTGATCCCCAACTGTTCAGCACCTTGGGATGTTCTCCCAAGGTAAAAGGCGCTTTACAAATGTAACTTTGTTGTTGTTGTCTGGTACTAAACCTATTCACATAAGTTCCATGATTTATTTTTAAAATGATGAATTCTGATCAACTATCTAATGTTTTGTGGAAAACCTGTTCATTTTAATAGGCTTTGGCTGCTCTTGACTGGTCCAGACATTGCAATGGTTGGTAGAAATCCACTACTTGCATCAAATGTGTTTGTCACTGAATGTATGCGAAGCTGTATCCCATCATCATTTCAAAAGAAGTATGTATTTAACCATCTAAAAACAATTTACATTTATATAGCTCGACACGAGGATGGCTCAAACTGCTGCAATGGGAGCAGCCCGAGGTAGGATGAGGAGATGAGAAGGGCAGAGAAAGATGGCTGGTTGAAGGGGCAAGTTGGAAGAACTTGGGGGTGAAGTTTCAGAGTAGGGGTAGAATGGCTTAAGTCTCACCTTCAGCCCTTTGGGACGTCCTCCCGACGTGAAAGGAGCTCTATAAATGTAATTTTGTTGTTATTGGTGGTGGTGGTGGGACAGTCCAAGTGGGTGTTTGCTGAGTGGAGAGAGTGGTGGAGCAGAAGGGTCAAACATTTGGTGTTTTATATGGGTTTTTAGTGTGATATGTTTAGCTTGTGTAGCGAAGGGTTGTGCTAAACAGGATGCTCACAGGAATGTTTTTGTGATGCACTACCACCAAGTGCAATGCGTATGTGGCTGCCAAAAAAATGAAAAAAGATTTGACACATTCCTGGCTCATATGTATGTTGTCCATCTAAGCGGTAAGTGTGACCAAAAGTAGGCAATGCAGCAGCAAATACTGACATACATGTCATACTGATAGTTTATAGACAGCAAATCACAGTATTTACATAGCAATTTATGTTGCATCTGCTGTTCTGTGGTTAGTTTCCTGGGGGTTTCGGACAGTTTGGGGGAGAGAGAGAGGAGGGGTGGGAGAGAGGAGGGGTGGGAGAGAGGAGGGGTGGGAGAGAGAGAAGGGGGGAGAGAGAGGAAGGGAGAGAGAGGAGGGGGGAGAGTGGAAGGGTGTAGAGAGGAAGGGGAGAGAGAGGAGGGGCAGAAAGGAAGTGAGGAGAGAAAGGGAGAGAGTGCATCATGTCTCCCCACCTCATCTGCCCCACCATCGCCATTTTGCCCCCACTCTCTGGAGTTCCATTCCTGGAGTTCCTCTAAATCTCTCCCTCTTTCAAGGTATGTCACAACCTAACTCTTTGACCACGCTTTCACTCATCTTTTCCCCTCCCCATCCCATCTCCCTCAGCTCTCAACCCCAGCTCAGGTGCCCAGCTGATCGTGTCAAGATGTCCTTCCAACATGTAAAACGTGCTGTGTAAATGTTGTTATGTTTGTGGAAGGAAAATACAAAATATTGCTTTTGCAGCCCCCGGACCTTTCCCAAATAGGGAATCTGGCCCGCGGCAGCCAAAAGGTTGGCCACCCTGATCTATAGCATCATCCTTGGCTATGGAACAGGAGAAAATGAGTCAGAAGTCCTGATTACAGAAGAGAAGTGTATGGAAGTCATGTGAGGGCAGTATCAGGCTAAGCTGATGTTAATTTCATTTAGAAATCAGACCGTATGAAACACAAATCAGACTGCCAATTAGGCTGATTTCTTTTGAGATTTGGAAACAAACACCTCAAGTTTGAAAGAAAAGGTTGAAAGAAGTCAATGTTCAGGTTATGCTCAATCAAAATGTTATTGAAGTTGGGGCTTTAATATCACTCACAATATTACCATCTCCAGTGCAGCCTGAAATTCCATGACATGGCACTACATCAATAACACTGACAGCGATTTATCTTAGAACTAAACAGAGAGCCACCCTCCAGGTGTATTTTCTCTGAGGCACTGCTGGGTTGAATAAAGAATTAGTTGTCAGGTCAACTGGTTAATAGATTACATTGCAGCATTTCCAATAACAATCACAATATTAAAATATACCTCAAGGGAAAAAAAAGTTAGAATAGTTATGACCACTACAAAATTTCACTGATTGTCATTACACAATTAACAGAATATCCTGTGAAGTATTTGAAATATCCTTTTGACTTGAAAGGCACTATATCAAATGTAAGTATTATGATTATTATTATTGTTAACCAGAAAAAGAGCTAATATGGTGTAAACCTTCTGTAGCATCTATGGAATCTAGGGCAAGAAACATAACTGTAAAATGGTGGTAATATGGTGAAAGTGGAGACCAATATCAACACCAACAACTTGCATTTATATAGCATTCTTCACGCGGGGCAGCATCTCGGAGCACTTAACAGTGGCGGAGCCTGACACTGTAAATAATACTGGAAATAAAGTTATTTACAAAAAGGGTCATGGGACTATTATTTTAGAAATGCTTATTCTTTAGTTCACATGATTGGTTTGGATGAAGAAGACCCTTTGGCCCAATTTCATCCTTCAGGAACATCCAACCGTACCATCCCCTCAGCACTACATCAAGCTGTGTTTTCAGTGAATCCAGTGTCCTGGCCTCATCCTGTTCCAGTTGTTGATCCTTTGAGTAAAGAAAACAATCTTGGCATCTGTCCCTAAATTGCCTTTACAACTCTAAATCTACGTCCTCTTTTCTGCTGTTTTGTTGCATCCTAAAGTGTTGATCTGGGTTAACTTTTCAACCCTACTTAAAATTTTATACCACTCTAGGAGGTCCCTTCTGAGCTGTCTTCTCTCAAGACTGAAGAGTCCTAGCTTGTCTATCGGTTACCATTGGCTCAACTCTGCAGCTCGTGTACTGTCCCGCACCAGGCTTCGGGACCACATCACTCCCACCCTCGCTCGCCTCCACTGGCTCCCCATCCCCCAGAGGATTGATTTCAAGATCCTCATCCTCACCTATAAGGCCATCCACGGCCTTGCTCCTCCTACCTCTCTGACCTACTATCCCCTACCTACCTGCCCGTACCCTCCGTTCCTCCGGCTCCGGTCTGCTCCATGTCCCCCGCCCA